TTCAAGACTTGTAATTTGCTAGGCCTGGGTTCGAATTCCGCCATGTACCAATGTCTTTTTTTTAATTTAGATTTACACATGTACATTTATCCTTCATTCTTACGGTGATGGAAAACATCGAGATGCAATCTGCACATATCTGCAAAGAAATTCAAAGAAATGTGTGAAGTCAACCAACCCGCACTTGGCCAGCGTGGTTGACTATATCCTAGTCATCCCTAACTTATGGTAGGCTCCGAAGGGCAGTGGGGACGTATAGTGAGTTGACGATGACAACAATTTCGGGCGTTAGTCACTAATTTGATCAATATTATTTCTCCTGGGTTGCTTTTGCATTCGATTTGTGGACTGTTTATTTCATATTATAATACCTATTTTTCAAAATGCGTACATGATCGTATTATCATTCTCGAAGGTCGATCATAAAGTTCGTAAATTACAGCTACACGTGAGAAGCTCTTATCTAAATCACCAATTCCGTGTCATAGCAAGACTGATGATTGTCATATTTCCAAAGACATAAATTCACTTACGAAATTTTTTTTATGTATATTCCATCAATAAGGTAAACGTACATTTTGAAAAATTACTAATACACTTCGTCGTAAGGTTATAAACATAAAATTGAATTTTGACCAAATTCCACTATTAAGCAAATAGTAACGAATTATATTTCTTCACTAGTTTTCTCCCGCGATTCTCTCTGCACGAAATGTAAAAAAAAACTTAATAAGTCTATGTGTTCTTTCAGTCTATATTCTACATCAGTGTCAAATTTGATAAAGATCTGTTGAGCCGTTCCGGTGATAATTTCTAACAAACGAACATCCATCCAACAATCTATACATCCAAACATTCGCATTTATATTAGTGATATTTGGAGAAAAAATGAGAATGGAAAAATGTTCACTTTGCTCTTCTATGACATATTTATCAAGTTAAGGCCTCTATAATATTTCTCATATGTTAAATTTACTGATGTGACATATACTTTAAAAATATATGTTCCTATCAAGTGATGTGGCAAAGATCCCTCTCGTGTGTTGATTGCATTATTTCCGCACCAACAACTCACAAAGATGTCAGCTCAATCTTTCCAGAGTCATATTTCACATGTTTACTTAAACAAATTTAAACTAACTTTTGCCCGTGACTGCGTTCGCGCGGAATAAAAAAACCTTATTAAGTAGAATATATGTTCTTCCAATGCCAAATTTCAGTAAGATACATGCATGCATTTTTATACCTTCTAACAAACAAACATCCATATAAACATTCGCATTTATAATAGTAGTAAGGTTAAGTTTAAGAAAAAAATTCTTAGGTATGAAGTTATAGCAAACAATTTCTTATCCTACTTATGTTACTTATTTAAATGCATACAGTTGTCCTTTTTTGTGTCAAAGATAATGAAAGAGATGTCAATATGTAATACAAATATCACAGTGTAATTCAACGGTTAGATAATCTGTAGTACACGTAAACATTAATTAAAAACCTTTAGTCCAAACTACATTACAGTTTGTTGTTACTACAAATAGATTACGTTTCAGTTGTAGAAATTAATTGAAAACTCTCGATAGATTCCAGACGCTTACTCATTAAGAATCGGCTGATTGGAAAACTCTCGAATCCCCGTTTGTAAAACAAATGACAATTACTCGTAGTATTGAGAGTGTTAGTAAAAATACAGATTTGTTTATTTAAATTAATTAATATGAAAAGTACAGAAATAACATTTCAAATATTTAAAAGAAAGTGTATTATAAATGCGAATGTTTAGTTGGATGGATGTTTGTTTGAAGGTATCTACAGAACGGCTGCATGGATCTCGCTGAAGTTTGTCATAGGCTACTTATAAAGTTTAATACCGCGCGGAAGAAGTCGGAGGCGACAGCTAGTCCTTAAATAGTTTGAATATTTTTTTTATCTTAGATACTTCTATTGTTATTTTTAATTTAATAATACTTTTTTTTTAATTTAGTAAAAACATATTGATAACTACAGTAACATGATTAAGTTGCAAAATTTCACTTTGGCAAATTGCCAATCCGCTCCAATCCCGAACCGCAAGCTCTTAGTCAGAATGAAATTGAATTTTGACCAAGTGATGCAGTTCCAAAGCTTTCAATCACACTCCTGTTCTGGGAAACAGGATTTTTCGGTACATCTGTTTACTTTTGCAAAATAGACGTAAGAAAATATTTGAAAATTGGAGTGTTTCGAGTTAAGTTAATAATAATTTTTTATTAAAGCCTATTTTCGTCCTTTCTTAAAGAGAGGCAACACATCTGCTACTTTGCTTTTTGGGCAAATTTAAATGTCCACTTTCTAGTTTGCTACTTTATGCTATGAAAAATATTTTGATGGATTAAGGCTACTGCTTGCTCTTCAAGTTTTTTATGATTAAAAAAATTAGAGTAAAAAAGGGACGCGGTAATTATAGGTTTATTAAATTATTCAAACTTTCGTGAGACATAAACTTATATAAAAACGGGTAAAACACTCACGTATATTCTAGTGGCAGCATCGACTAGTTTCGAGCCCATCGGGGCATTTCGCGGAGGCCGCCCTCAGCTCACTGACTAGGTTTACTGTTTAATAAATAATATCACTGAATTCCTTTTTATTATACAATTTAATCCTGATACGTTTTTAATTGAAGAAAAAAAATTCAACAAATGAAGCTTTCATTGTGAAAGCTGAAGCTTTTAGGACAATTTTAATTCAATATCATACGTCTAAAATTGTTACCTAAAAAGCTTTTAAAACGTTTGCACGGTGATTTTTTACTTTTATATTATTTGGTGAAATCATAAATAAAAAAAAATATTCAGTCATGTAAGGTTGTCTTCTAAAAAGTTTTAATACATTTGTTGTTAAGTACCAACCTTTTTAATATGATAATTATTCTTCTTTTTCTTGAGATTCTTTTTCCTAAAAGCGAATGTTGCCAGCCAGTTCGACATATTTAACTCTGTCTTGACAGGCGAAAAAAAAGTAGTAATTGAAGATACAAATTCTACTATACATCTCAGAAACATTTAATATTAAACGTAGTTCTGTTTCGTAACTCCTGATGTACATTCACATGATCAGCAAGGTTACAGAAATTTTGGTTAATTAACACAACTCTACGTTGGCACACTGAAAACTAAAATCCAGTCACAAACTCAGTGAAACTAGCAAACACGACAGAAACTGTGACGGTAACAAATTGCAACGTATAACCCAATTAGAGTTATATATTTGTAAACGTAGGAAATATTACTGACCAGTAACTAAGAATTATTAAGTTTTTTTTTCTAATCATATTTAAAAAAAAAAAGTTAATTATTTAACTTTTTTTTTTTAACTATGTTGTGTACTTTTAAAGTTATGTCTTGATGAAAGTATAATGCTATATATAATATGTTTTCCATTTACTTTAAAAAAAAGTAATTTTTCACAATATGATTGTGAGAAATGAGTTGTCACAAAATGGCTTTTTAATTTCACGACATGACTGTTTCATCTCACTTGAGTTTTAAAGTTGTTAATGAAAATTTATTCCTTTTTTATAGTAACTTCAATGCTTAAAAAATACCTACTTTTAATCCTTAATTGTAACTTTCATATAACACCCCCCCCCCAAAGAATCAATAAAAATTAAAAATAAAGTTTTCGTTCCATACAAAAAATCTAATCTTAACTTTCACATTTATAATATTAGTAACATATCTAAAATTGTACTATGAAAGGTAGATATAAAAAATCTTATTAAAATAGCAATCAAGTATTATTCAGTCGTTTGTCGTTCTTTGAGCATTAAACCATTTCCACAGAGATAAGGCGGGGGATTAAACGCAAAGTGCGCAATCAGTTAGGAGAAAAGCATTCGCTGGCAGACAGTTTTAAATCTATGAAAAAGTGGACGATATCTTGAGGTAAGTACTTAAATATTTTAATTAAAAAAACATTTTTACATCATAATTACACTCAGAGTAATTAATCGTATACATTATCTAATTTAACAAAAGCAAAATAATTACATGGTCCTACTTAAAAGATAAACATGCAAACAGATTTGTCCTTATACAACTTGGAAATTTCGAGTTATTTATTGACACACAGAACGGTTTAATTATTGCTAAGGGAGGCCCTTAATGCAGATTTAGATAACCATTAACATTAAAATGCTAAACTCTTAATAAATTTAAGTAAGAATAAATCTCATTTTAACAATAGATACTGGTAAATCTCTTTCCGAGTCGTTTGGAGTAAATTACTTTTCCTTTTAAATTTCCAAAATATTCCTTTGTTAATTACTTAGTCTTATTGACCTTTCCTTGATTCTACGGTAAGGTTAATTAACATTTTTTTTTACAAATATCGAAGTAAAATCTAAAAGATTATTAGCTTAGGTCTTTCAATATAATAAATTATTATGAATTATTTTATCATCAAATATTGCGTTATAATTCTAAGTCGATACAAGTGCAACTAGTTGGTCTATTAAATAGTTTTTACTGCTTTTTAAGAGTACTTTTTCAAGGTCAAGGTTTAACAGTGGTAGAGCCCGCTTTAACATCTTCCTACAAATTAGCCCAGCTCGCCCGGTGAAATACACACACAGAAGAGAGGCGTCAAGTGGAAGCTATTCCGCGTTTCGTCTGATAAGTGTACGTCTCGGAGGCCTAATTTAGTCCTCTTTCCCTTCCCCCTTTTTTCTTGTAAGGAAAGGATGGAAAGTGGAAGTGGACTTTCCGGAAGAGAGCATGCATGGGAAGGGAAAATATTTTCTTTCTGTGCATCCTCTCCTTCGTCGATTAAAGGTAGGCAACACATATTCAATTGCGTATGTCTATGGGCAACAGTCACTTCGCTATTTTAGCGATTTCAGGTGGCCGCTCGCTCGTTTGCCACCTTATGATATAAAAAGGGTCACCACAAATATCTTGGATTACTTGTTACTTTCGAAAACTTTAGAATTCTACATTTGGTTTAAATTAAGAAAATTATTAAATGCAGCATTATTTTAATTACAAATCTGCCTTTTAAATTTCGATTCTTTTTCATTCTTCTCTGTCTCTGGTTTCTTAAAGTTACAGGCCTTAAAATAAAAAAAAAACATCATCGTATATTTTCATTGTACATACGTATAAATTGATCGTGCGCTGCTGCGTCTCTTCTGCAATAAAAGTTTTTTGTTGTAACACAAACAGGATGCTTCCCGTCGTATGTATTTGTATCGTAAATTACATCCATTTCCTTCACCTCTCTTAGTAGTTCTCTAAGACAAGCGCATTGCCATGGATTGTTTCCGAAATGCATTATCTTAAGCATTAACCCAGCATCTTCTATTTTCAAAAGGAAATTTTCATGTAAATGCGTTATGTTATTATTATCAAAACTAAGTCTCTTTAATTCAGTACCAGCGAATGCATTAAGTGGAATATCAGTTAATAAATTATACGATAACTTTAGTTCATATAATTTAGGTATATTTTGGAACATATCTACAGGTAGTGTGGTCAATTTATTATATCTTAAATCGATCTCTTCAAGATATCTTAGATTTTTGAATACATCTTTATGAATAAATTCAAGTTGATTCTTTGATAAATTTATTTTCATCACATCTTTTAATTTGCTAAAAATCATAGCGTCGTCTATAGACGTTATTTCGTTAGAAGCCAAACTTAAATGTCTTAATTGTTTCATATTCTCAGCAGTTGCAAGATCAGGTACTACTTTTAAAGAACAACCATCCATATATAAATAGTTTAAATTGTTCATGATTGATAAGAAATTAGCTTCAGCCATATCGTTACCGGATAAAGATAATATTGATATATCACGTTTTCTTTCAAATAATTGAGGCACTATTTCTTTTCCTGTAAACATATTATGACTCAAATCTAATTGTGACAATCTCCATAAAGAATCGAATAGACCAGGTTTGAGTGTATGTAATTTATTTCCTTCTAAATCTATTACAGATAACTCTGTATTATGGTTGAATATATTATCAGGTAATTCTGTAAGGAGGTTGTAAGATAAATTTAAACGCGATAATGATGGAAGTCTGTCAAATACTCCTATAGGTAAACTTTCTATTTTATTTTCTCCTAAATCTAAAATAGCTAATGCTGGCAGTCTATAAAATGCTTCTTGTTCTATCCTTATAATCTTGCATTGCATTAGTATTATATGAAAAGTTTTTCTCTTGTCTGACACAAGTCCTCTACGTAAAATGTTATCACTAGAACCAGTTGCGTTACACATATGGAACATCATGCCTCCATCATCTTCGAATTTGCATTTTATATCTGCGTTGATAGCAAAAAATAACATAGACCAGATCGCTATCCATGCTGATTCCTTCATTGTATTCAGATCTGAAAGTTAAATTATAATATTAAAATCGATTAAAACGTAGAGGGAGACGAAAGAAAGTACGGACGGATTGTGTGAAAGAGGATACGCGTAGGAAAGGTATAGATTCGAATGATAGCTGATAGAGTACTGTGCCAACCCGTCATTCCGATAAGAGCAGGTTAATGATGATGATGATTAAAATCGATTAATTATTGTACTTTATTAAGCATATTTGCAAGTAAAATAGATCAATGGTTCCACTAATGAAACTCTTACACAAAAACAAATTACTATCGTTCGTGTATTCTCAGAAAAGGTAATTTTATTTTCTAAGAGTTTTTCTTTAATTGAAGCCCACAGTTAAATAAAAACTTACTTTTTTTAAAGAGTAACTTTAATGTAATATTTAATATACTAAATTTCACTATAATACGTCGGCAAATCAGTAATACTGATGTCTTTTTTATTTTATAAAGATACTAATACTTAAACTATCGAATTTATTGCAAAATGTTGACTATTATACACATCTGTCTTATTTGCGGTCGTGGTATTTCACCGGGCGAAAGACGTTATTCCCGGCTCTACCACAAAAGTTTAAGTTGAAATAAAAAATAAGTAAACTTGGTTACCTTGTGATGTTTTTGGCACACATATAGTTACACTAACTTTTATGAACACTTATGAAACGTCTGATTGTCACGAAGTCTAGTAATAATGACCAATTATATTTGACTACTAACTCGCGATCTTGACGCATGTGGTCCGGTCGTCGACGTTGATAAATACTGTGATAACGTTCAGCTCATGTACGCTAACTAATTGACGCGGATTCGTCTGTTTATTATCATTAATTTTATATGATTTTTATTATTTAAACAAATTATTTCTTAATACTATAGTGATGTTTGTCAAGTTCATCTGTTCATAAACAAAGAATGAAAATTTAGATTTGGGTACTTTTGTGAATATAATTTGTATTAACTACATATTATAAAACAGTAATTAATTTATTCAACTATTAACTAATTTGTTTTTAATACATCATCTTCAAATTAACGCAACATACAGACACAGAATCTCTATGAATATGTAGTGTCCGTGGAAAACCCTTGGGTATTTTGCTACCGACATATGTACTCGTATATATGTTGCTTATTATTGTAATGAGGTTAACAAAGATTACATATTTTTATATATTTATTAAAGATACTGATATTTAACTAATATGTATTTCAAATAAACTTAATTATTAACAAATATCGTACAAGCAAGTAGCATTTTTAATGTCATAATACTTTGCTTTTTAGGCTCGAAAAATAATGATTTTACTCTTTCGTCTCCAGCGTACGTAGGTACGTGGGATCCGGGACCCTCAGTTCCCACTAACCTACCCTAAGTTAGGAGTGACGAGGCATTAGTCAACCACGCTACCCCAGTGCGGGTTGGTTGACTTCAATCTTTGAATTCCTTTGTGGATGTATGCACGTTGCATCGCGATGTTTTCCATCACCGTTAGAACGTCGGATAAATACACATATGTAAATCGAAAAATACATTGTGCATGGCAGGATTCGAAGCCAGGACCCCTGAGCCATCGACGCTCCTCTCTTAAGTTTGTTTAAAATCTACGAAAGATATTATTTGTGGTTATAAATTTCTAATTTATTATTAAAGTTTGAATGTATCTTAATTACTTTTAATTGTGTTTCTTGTCTGTGACAACTGGGAAACAAAACAGCTTAATTCTGTTTGCGACAGAAACTAATAGGGCAATAAAATCAATCGATCTATCTAGGCTTCAGTGAACAAGGACCTTTCTGATACACTATACAGACAACTGACAGGACATTGGAATTATTGATGAATGAAATTAATACAAAAGACGATACAAGATTATTTGAGAATTTTTATTATTTTTATTTAAATATGTTCTTTCCAGCGCGATTTATTTCAGGTTTAGTCGTAAGTAATTAGTGGACTAGAGTTACTCAAGTTCATACATTTATAAATTACTAACTATCGCCCCCGACTCCACCCTCGCGGAATTAAAAGAAACTTAAAGGGGAAGCCTATGTGTTCTTTCATATTATGTTCTACATGTCTGTCTAATTACATCAAGATCCATGGAGCTGTTCCGAAGATACCTTCAAATAAACAACCGTCCATCAATCTAAACGTTCGCATTTATAATATTAGTAAAAAGTAAGACTGGCCGTTGCCAGCTCTATCTGCGCAGAATTTTTAAAAACGTATTTATTAGCCTATGTCTTCTTCTAGACTGTGTACTACTGGTTGTTTCAAAGAGATCCTTATCCGTTTTGTAGATACATAATCATCCATCCATCTAAAAAAATTGAAATCTCCGATTTTACGCTAGTCGATTGTACGCGTCAAACGCATGCCTAAAAGCCAATTGCTCTGATTGTGACAATAACTGATGAGGTAATAAACGCTTCTGATTCAAATCATTTGACTGTCATTCCGTTCAAATACTTCGCTTTGTAAAGGGAAAATGATACTGAACAATAGCTTAATATATCGATTGTCAGGCACAAATATTACCGTTTACACTGTCGAAACATCTATAACAAACACATTGTTATCTCTTTCATTTTCATTGAGAAAAGTGAGATATCGATATGTTTTTTGTTATAATGTTTTCTCAGTGACCTCACTGTAATGGATTCGAAACCATTTAGATTATTGCTTGATTATTAACGCAATTACGGAAGAACAAAATTGTTCTTGAGTAAGACTTCTTGTTGACAAAACTTAAAAAAAAACATTTAAAATCCTACTAATATTATAAATGCGAATGTTTGGATTGATGTTTGAAGATATCTCCAGAACGGCTACATCTATCTCGCTGATATTTGGTTTAGATGCAGAACACATAGGCTACTATTTTTTTTCCACACGGTCGGAGACGCTGGCGCCTGCTAGTATTAAATAAAGCGCTAGTAGCTTTAAAACTTAACTAGATTTAACTTATATAAAAAACCGTGGTACAGCTGTGTCTGCACGTTTTAAAGTGACAAGGGTGTTGGCATCGGGTCAAGTCTACTCAGTGCAAATGAATTTTAACGTCTTGCTGTTTAATTTGCTTTTTACATTTAAGATATTATACGAGATACAAAGCCCCATAATGTGCATTAAATTTAAGCGCATATATTTTAATTTATTATAATTAAAATAAATTTTATCTTTGGGGAAATTAAAGCAAATCAGTAAAATAAAATAAAACTCCAAAAGGTCAAAAATATTAAGGCCAATGACCTAATGTTAAAACATATATTTCAAAACACTTTTAATATTAAATTAAATCAGTTTTAAGTAATGATAAAATCAATGATTTTGTTTTTTTATTTAAAAATGAAATTAAAATGAATAAGATTCTACTGAAGAATGAAATGAATCCTTTGTCAATCGTTTAATTCTTTGTTCAACAAGGAGCGGACAAAATTCAATATAATTCTTCCCTTTCTTTTGAACCCGAATAGTACATCCCTTTGTTTGTAGAATCTCTGAAGACGTTTTGCGCAATTTTTCATTTTTAATTAATTTTTCAATTTGTTTTAAAAGTTAACACAATGCCTTTCTGGCATTTAAATTCCACCTTTAGTTTTCATTGCTGAAATATCTTTACTAACACTGTTAATAAAAACAAAGAGAACTTTTCTTATATCTTTAAATTTTATATAATTTTTTCATATTAATGTTTCTTGTAATTATTGCTCGGATTATATTAATTTAAACGTATAATTTCCGCTGCTGCGAGATTATAGGTCTAAATTTAATTGCACTGTAAATCTCTGAACTACGCTCAGTGGTAACTAAATTTAAGAGACACAAAAGTAAAATAGCGCCTGGCAATATGTCATGTTTACCTGGGTCAGGTCAGCGACGAAATGAAAAGCTGACAGGCGCTTTGTTTACTTTTTAATGATGTTTCGTGCATTTAATATCTCTCTTGTTTATATATTTACAAAAACTTTTATACTTTTTAAAATATACTAACAAGATAATATTTAAAAACAACTTTTAAAAATTTTGTCTGTCTGTACGAAAGGTCGCTTTACACCAGGAATCTCCGAAATGAATGGACAGATTTTGATGGGATTTTGTCGGGAGGTAGCTACTGATGCATGCAGCCACATTATAGGCTACTTTTTAGTCTCTCGCAGAAAAGTCACGGGCGATCGCTAGTGTTTATAAAGTTATTTAAGAACCTGTAAGCGAAATTAGTCGAAAAAATATGTTTATAGCAACGATCGTAAACTTATTTCAAAAACTCTATTTTCTGTTATATCAAAATTACAGATAATAAAAACGCGTCATACGTTTTAAATTTGTTATTTTTGTGACGTCACCAAAAGTCTCGAATCTTTTTTCATTTTCGAGAACAAAAAAGCGTCGTGGTACGAAACGCTTATTGTTACTGCACCTTTCAGTCTGTGTGGCTTTCAGGGAAATGACAGCCTGTGTTGATTGCTGTGGCAGGCAAATATTATTGAAAACATCGTCTCATATCTGTGAACAATTTAAAATACCTACATACTTTAGTACTTAACCTTAAAAAAATTGTTGAACAGGAAGGAGGTTAATTGTCTGAATTAAACTGAAATTAGATTCAAACTATTTAGGTCAGTGTGACCAAAGTTTCAGGAGCAAACTGTAAATTTAGAGCCAACCTAACAGCAAATACTTACTACCTAGTCGAACTATATCTACTATATCTTTATAGTAATTAAAATAGAAAGAGTGCTAAAATGTTTATAATTAAAAATTGTGATGCCTTTCCTAGAATTATTTAAGTAAAAAAGTTGTAAAGTTTGTGTGATTTATTTTAGAGTGTTGTTTTAGTATTTATTTTTACACTTTTGTAATATAAATGTACAGGAATTCTATTAACGAAAAGAACTTTGAGCATCTCGTTCGCGCTTTTGACTAAACTCAGACTATACTCGAGTTTTTAGAATAATGTTTTAATAAGGTTGTCGAGACACGTTTTTGCATACATTTTATTCATATCTAACTCTTGAAGCATCTCAATTAAATTTTAGAACGTATGATTATAATTAATTAAGTGGCTACGGTTGCCTGTCCCATCAATTAAATTATTTTTATCACAATATTCAAATTCACATATTGGCTATATTATTTTGTCAGGCGTTTACATTTTTTTTAAAATAACAGAACGGGGCAAACGAGCAGCGAGAACACCGAGGTGTTCAACGACGCCTAAGGACATTAGCAATACCAGAGGAACCGCAGATGCGTTATAAGTACGCACTAAGTTTTCTTCACATCGATCTCTATCATGTCAGTTTTCTCCCTCTCCCCCTACATATGTCATGTTACTTTTTATGCAGTACATATATTTACCGGTGTACTCCACTACATTAAACTTATAGATTGTTCTACTCGAACTTCTTGTCACACGTCATTCTTCTCTCCTAACATGCTCATACCATACTAACCTTATGGTACCTATACGATGGATGAATGTTTGTCATTACGTATTTCCAGTATGGCTTAACAAGTCTTTGTGAACGACACAAATGTATAACATAATCTGGAGCAACGCCTCGGCTACTTACTGATTTTATTTTTTAATTTCGATCGTACGAAGTGGCGGGCAAAAGCTAGTAATTTATATCTTGTTAAAATCTATATATATAAAATAAAGACGTAGTTACACTATTTATAACTGAAGAACGGCTTTACCGATATGACTGAAAATTGATGAGGAGGTAGCTTAGAGCC